TGGAAAACGTTTCCAAGTGAAAATCTAGCTCTGAACTTAATACTCCTAGGGATTTAAAAAGGGAAACAAGAACAAAAGAGGTAGAGCATAAAGAGGTAATTATGTGAAAAAAGAAGGGTAAGCAGTGCCTGCTAGGTGTTGAAAGACAGAAAAGAGAGGATCAGGAGTTGTATTTTCTTAGAGAAGCATATGCCACAGATCCTTGTTACAAGAAAAAATAAAAGGGCAAGGGCTCAGCTCAGAGAGGCTTTGGTGTCAGCATTCAGGTGTTTCTGTAAAGTTGGGGATCACTTCCATGAGAAATTAACAGTCAACATGTAACTAAGAGGAGAACTCCACTTTGGGAGACACCATAAAGACCATGTCCTCATGGTCTTAAATCATAGGGAAGATCCTGGATGGAGTCAGAATTTCCAGGGAGTGTGGGAGAGGAATGAGGCCCAGTTCTGGTGGTTTAAAGAAAATTCATATTAATTAAGGGGGTGGCTCTTGGGAAGTTCAAACATCATAACTTTTTGGCTTCATTAGTGAATCTATTACAAACTCCATTGCTCTTGTGTTCTCTTAAAATATTGCCAGGAATGCACTGTATCATACCTGTCAAAGTAGTGGCAAATGCTTAGCTGCAAATATGTATTTGTCCAGTGTTAGTTTGGGGATATGACCCAAAATTGTAAGAAATTGGTAAAAAGCTACTTAATCATTTTTCAAACAGAGATGAGAATTGTGCTTTTGGAATATGTATTTTCCATCTTATTATAAACACACAGAAACTAACTGGAAAGCCAACAAGAGGGGAGGAACCCTAGAAGTTAATCCATAAACCAGAGTCTACAGACAAGTTGTATAAATGAGAAGAAAGAGTTATAGCAGATGTCCTTTCAGTGTCCTAACCTTACCATGATTATTCTAGCAAGGAGTTTAGTTCCTTTGAGGACTCTGTTGGTTCTTCAAAGTGGGAAATAAAGCTCATGAGACCAGCCACATGCTGCTGAAAACTGGCTGATTTGGGGAGTAGTGTGGCTAGATGGAGAAAGGCCTTCGATTGAGGGCTTGTCCATGTGCAGAGTAATAGGCGAGTGCTTTGATCCTTCCCGAATGTACAGTAATACAAAGTGCACACATCACTGCTGAGAAAGTTCTGGCAGCAGATAATAAGTAAGGAGAGGACTCCTAGATAGAGAAGCTAATCAGACACTCTTCAAAATTTTTTCTGTAGAAGCCTAGGCTGCCCAAGGTTCTGAAGATGATATCAATTCTCCTTTCAACAAAAATAGTCAGGGACAGGGTGAGTGGTGAAGGGATGAAATTAGGAGTTTATAAGGAAAAGGGGAGACCAAAGAATCAATGGCCTAAATTTGGAACTAAACTTTGTTGATAGCTGGAGGGTGGTGATGGGAAATCAGCCTGAGGCTAAAGAAACAGCACCTGGGAGCAGGCAATTGTCCAGAATAAAACCTGGAGAGTTTTATGAGATGAATGCCTTTCAGTCACCAAAAATTTGATTTGGAATGACTTCTGGTAGTTGATAGTTTCAAGAAATTGGTCCATCTCATCTAAGTTGTTGAATTTATGTGTGTAGAGCTGTTTGTAGTGATATTCACTTAATGCCCTTGTAATATCTGTGGGATCTGTAGTGTTATCCCCCCTTTGAGTTGATAATTTGCATATCTTTTCTTCCATGTGTTGTCTGGCTAGCATTTTGTTTGAGATCTATTCTTTGGTTTGATTGATTTTTCTCTACTATTTTTCTGTTTTCCAATCCATTTATATCTGTTCATATGTTTGGAGAGTACACGCCTGTAGTAATGTATACATTATTTCCTTCCTTCTGCTTATTTTGGATTTGGTTTAATTCTTCTTCACTAGTTTCTTAATGTGAGGTTAGATAACCAACTTGACATTTTTTAAAAATCTAAGCATTTAATTTTACAAATTTCTCTGTAAGTACCGCTTTAGCCACATTCCATAAATTATGTGTTGCATTTTCATTTTCTTTCAGTTAAAAAATATTTTCTAATTTCCCTTGAGGTTTTCTTCTTTGGCCCATGGGTTGTTTAATTTTTAAGTGTCCTGGGATTTTCCAGATGCCTTTCTGTTATTGATTTCTAGCTTAGTTCCATTTATAGCAAGCATATATTTTGTATGATTTCAATTCTTATAAATTGACTAAGACTTTTTAATGGCCTAGAATATGATCTATCTTGGTGACTATTGTATGAATGATTGAAAATAACGTGTATTTTGCTGTTGTTGGATGAAGTGTTCTATAAATGGCAATTAGTGTTGAGTATTCTAAATCCTTGCTGATTTTTACATTTGGCTTTTCTGTTGATTATTGACTGTAGGTATCTCCAACTGTATTTGTTAATTTGTCTATTTCCTCTTAGATCTATCAGTTTTTGCTTCATGTAGTTTGATGCCTGCTGTTACGAGCACACATTAAGGATTATTACATCTTGGAGAATTCACCTTTTTATTAGTATTTAATAATTAATTTAATGTCCTTTGTTATCCTGATAATATTTACCTGTTCTAAAGTCTACTCTTTCTGATGTTAATATGGCTACTGTAGTATTCTTTTGATTGGTGTTTTCATAATATATCCTTTACCTTCCTTTTACTTTTATCAATCTATGCTTATATATAAAGTAGATTTCCTGTAGTCAACATATAGCTGAGTCTGCTTTAAAATATAATCTGCCAGTCTTTGTTTTTAATTAGAGCATATAGAAATGTAGAAGCTTTACATCCACATAAGTTCCTTTATACTCCTTTCTTTATGTTATAGTTGTAATAATATTCACATACTCACCTTGAAAGCCTCACCAGACAATTTTATACTTTTTGCATTTGATAGTTATATTTCAAGGACTCAAAAGGAGAAAAGTAATCTATTATATTTACCTTTATATCTATATAAAGATAGATATAGTCACCTTTTATTTCTGTAGTTCCATGTTTCCCTCTGGTATCATTTTTCTTCATCTTTAAGAGCTTACTTTAGTATCTTTTAGAACAGGTCTGCTAGTTTCTAGTTCTTCCAGTTTCCCATCAGCTGAAAATGTCTTTGTTTACCATTGTTCCTGAAGAACATTTTTGTTGCATATAGAGTTTTGGATTTATAATTCCTTTTTTTTTTTTTAAGTGGTTGAAAGTTGTTATTTCACTGTCTTTGGCGTCCATGGTTTTTGATGAGAAATCCATAGTCATTCAGATTGTTTCTCTAGGTGACTTGGGTTTTTGATAGTTTGATTATTCTATGATATTATGATATATCTGGCTAAGAATGGTGTTTGTTTTGGTTAGTTTTTTAGTTTATTCTATATAGGGTTCTCAGAACTTTTTTAATCTGTAAGTTTATGTCTTTCACAAAATTTAAGAAGTGTCTACCTATAATTTCTTCAAATATATGTATTTTTGCATCAGTCATGTTCTTCTCTTTCTGAGACTCCAGTGACATGAATATTAAACTTTGATATTATCCCATAGGTAACTGTGACTTTGTTCTTTTTTTTTTCCAAAATTTTTTTTCCAAAATTTTTTGACTGCCCTTCAGATTAGATAATTTTTATCTATTTTCAAGTTCACTAAATATTTCCTCTGTCATCCCCTTCTGCCAATGGATCTATCCAGTAATTTTTTAAAAATTCCAGATAATGTATTTTTTAGTTTTTAAGTTTCTATCTGGCTCATTTTTATAGTTTCTCTGCTCAAAAATTCTACTTTTCTATGCATTTTAAAAATATTCACCTTCCTGTGGAAGAAATGCCTCTATGTAGGTGGAATGTTATCTCTGAATGCAACAGTAAAACTTAAGAAAAAAAAAAAGGCGGGGGGGGGGGCTTTGAACTTTGAAAACAAAGTTTCTGTGGAAGAAATGCCTCTGTGTAGGCGAAGTGTTATCTCTGCATGCAACAGTAAAACTTTAGAGAAAACAGAAAAAAGGAAAAAAAATCCTCAGTTTGAACACAAAGGCTCTATGGAAGAAATGTGTCTATGTAGGTGAAGTGTTATCTCTGCATGCAATAGTAAAGCCAAGAGGGAAAAAAAAAAGTTTGTAGAATATTCACTTTTACCTTAGGGAGAATGGATATAATAGTTTCTTTAACATTTTTGTCTGATAACAAACATCTAGGCCATCTTGAGATTTGCATTTGTTGATTGTCTTCTCCCTTGAAAAGAGATCAGAGTTTTCTTTTTCTTACAACCAAGGTAATTTTGGATTGTATACTGAGTATTTAGAATATTATATTGTGAGATATTATATTGTGAGATTCTGGGTCCTTTTACAATCTTTTGGAGATTCCAATCATTTTCATTTGGTTTTATTTTGTTTTGGCAGACAATCCAGTTAGCTTTAGACCACAAGTTCTCTCTTTTGGTGGGGGGTAGTGGTGGTGATTCTGGTGTAAATTTAGTTTGCAAAAGCTTTTCTGTGTTGCTTGGGTCTGCTCCATACATGCACGGTATGGAGGTTAAGTCAGTGCTGTGAGCAGTGGTTTATATTGTAGTTCAGTTCTCAAAGCCATGTTTCCTTGTGTCTGTTCACTCACCTGCAGCTCATGAATGAGAATGTGTATCAGTTTGTACATAAAATTAGGGAATCTTTCTCTGACTATCTACTCCCTGGGATTTCCCCTATACTTTTTGTCTCTTGTGGTGCCTTTCCTTGGTCCACCATCTAGAAGGCCAGAGTTTCTTTTGGAGTTTTATCCTCCCACTCTGTGTATCGACTGTGCCACCAGGACTGCCTTCAGGATGAAGTAGCAAGAGAAAAGAGAAAAAAACAAATGCTATTTCCCCCCATGTTCTTTGGACCACAGGGGCTCTTTTCTTTGGTCTCATAGCCAAAGACATGAATTTTCTCTTTGGATTTTAGGTATCCAAATTGCTGCTGCCATGGCAAATTGCCCTAAAATTTGGTGGCTTCACACAACAAACATTTAGTATCTGACATTATCTGGAGTCCAGGATTTTGGGTGTTGCTAAGCTGGGTTTCCTGACTCATAGCATCTCACAAGTTTGCCGTCATGATGCTGCCCAGGGCTGCAGTCATCTCAAGGCTTGACAGTGGAAGGGTCTGCTTCAGAACATATATCTGTTGACAGGCTTCAGAAGTTCTGCTTTGAAGCTCACTACATAACTGTTGACAGGCTGCTGGTCCCTGTTGGCTGCTGGCCAGAGACGTGAGTTCCTTGCGATGTAGACCTCTCTCTCCATAGGGCATCATGATGTGGCGCTGGCTTTCCTCCGAGCAAGAAGGGGAGAGAGTGAAAGAGAGTAAACAAAATGGAAAACAGCATCCTTTGTAACCTAATCTTGACAGTAACATCCCAATGCTTTTACCATATTTTATTTGTTGGAAGTAAGTCATTAAGTCCAACCTATATTCAAAGGTAAAGAATTACAAAAGGGCATGGATATTAGGAGACAGGGATCATTAGGGGCCATTTCAGAAGTTGCCTACCACACCTTCTTCAACTAAAAGCCTGGCGTGCATGATTTTAAAGAGCATATTGTATCTTCAGACCTTTTCCATATAGCATGGAAGAGTATAAAATATTGGCACGTGTTTGGTTTTCTTTCTTTCCTGGCAAACATAGATTCCATCTGGGTTTAATAGAAATTAAGGATGCTGAAAAATGCAAGACAGATCGAGAAAGAGCCAGGGATATGGAAAATGAATGTGGGTATGTTTGGTGCATCGTTTTCATGCTAGAATCATTTCCGAGTCTGAATATTGTTAGGCAAATGAAGTATAAGAAACATCTGGCTAGAAGAAAACAAGGCACAGATTAACAGGATGAACAGAAGTTAGTGGAGTATGTTATTTCATTTTAAACTGTTCAAGTTTGCAAACATTGTAAGTCTCAGATCAAATCACATTCCACAAGGGATAAGCTAAGCTACTGCAAATAAAAGTTCTTTTTTTTTTTTTTTTTTTTTTAGACTTTGTATCAGCTTAAGACCCATCAAAGGATTGAATCCTTCCTTAAGATCTTTGAAGGATTAGAATCCTTAGGTATGAGACTGGCAAGTTGAAGAACAAGTAAGAGATCCTTAAAAGTGATAGGTTTGCTTCTAATACTCACTGGCAGAGTCTATTTCCGAGGAGGTCCACAATATAGTAATTTTCATTCCACATGATCTTCTGCAGTGTGATCTCACTACTTCCCAGTCAAGAGGTAGAGTCTATTTCTCCACCCTCTTGACTCGAGATAGGCTTTCTATCTGCTTGACCATTAGCCTATGGCAGAAGCAATGCCATGCCATCTCTAGTCATCACGCTTAACAGATCCAGCGGTTCTGCTTCCTGCCTGCTGAAGCTGTGAGCTCCCGTGTCAAAAGTCTGGGCTATTCTTTTGGAGAGAGAACTACATGGAGATGCACTGAGTTTCAGACATGTGAGTGAAGAAGCCAGCTTGGACGTCTTGTTCGGTTGATTCTCTAGGTAAATCCAGCCACAGCCTCTGTGTAATTGGAATCACATGAGAACCAGATGAGTCCCAGTCAACTGATCCCAATTAACTGACAGAATCGTAAAAGATAATAACTGTTTTAAGCCATTAAGTTTCAGAGTGGCTTATACACAGTAGATTGTCAGAAACCACTACATACAAAGCCAGAATTTGAAAAAAAAATTTTATATGAGACATGGACATTTTGGAAGGTTTGCAGTATTAAATTACTTAACCATAGGATACCACTAATACATGTTTCATCAAATCTATATTGTTGGTTCTCAGACTTGAAAGTTTCCCAAGAGTCATCTGAAGCTTGCCCCTATACATGGAGAGTGGAGGGAGCTCAAAGAAAGAGGAAGACCACTCCAGATGGATAGATGGTAGGTTTAATAAAGCGAGGGAATTTATATACAAGACTTGTCAGTGGAAAGATCAGTAGACCTCCACACCCACTTACCAGAATCTCAAAAGTTTATATACAGGATTTTTTTTAAAAGATTTTATTTATTTGTTCATGAGAGACACGCAGAGAGAGGCAGAGACTTAGGCAGAGGGAGAAGCAAGCTCCCTACAGGGAGCCACTTCAGGACTCAATCCCAGGACCCCAGGAGCATGACCTGAGCCGAAAGCAGATGCTCAACCACTCAGCCACCCAGGTGCCCTATATGGAGGACTTTTTTTTTTAATAAATTTATTTTTTATTGGTGTTCAATTTACTAACATACAGAATAACACCCAGTGCTCATCCCGTCAAGTGCCCCCCTCAGTGCCCGTCACCCATTCACCCCCACCCCCTGCCCTCCTCCCCTTCCTCCACCCCTAGTTCATTTCCCAGAGTTAGAAGTCTTTATGTTCTGTCTCCCTTTCTGATATTTCCCACACATTTCTTCTCCCTTCCCTTCTATTCCCTTTCACTATTATTTATATTCCCCAAATGAATGAGAACATGTAATGTTTGTTCTTCTCCGATTGACTTACTTCACTCAGCATAATACCCTTATGGAGGACTTTTTAAAAAGATTTTATTTATTTATTCATGATAGACATAGAAAGATAGAGAGAGAGGCAGAGACAGAAGCAGGCTCCATGCCGAGAGCCCGCCGCGGGACTCGATCCCGGGACTCCAGGACTGCGCCCTGGGCCAAAGGCAGGCGCCAAACCGCGGAGCCACCCAGGGATCCCCAGGGATCCCCTATATGGAGGATTTTTAACTGAGTTTAGTCAGATATACCATCCAGATGGTCTCAACAACACATTGCTGTCTCAAGGCTGCTTTCTTTAAAATGCTGGGGGGAATGGTGGGCAAAGATACATTCCAAGGACAGGGGAGGTAGTGGGCAGCCTCCAATTGCCTGGGTCCTGCTCAAGGTCAACCGGCAGTCACATCCTCTATATGACCTCCTCAACACTATCTGGATGTAGATACAAAGGTATAGTCTGTGGTTTAAAATACAACGAATGAAATAACCATTGATAGCAATTGCTCTACCTTAAGATAAGCATTATTACATATTGATATATTTCCTTGCATTGTTCTTTATTCTGTGTGTATATTTTTCTTTCACATTACACAAGTGTGTTTCTTGCCTCCCCCCTCCCAATTTAGCAGGATATAGTGAGCATTTTTAGAGACCCACTTTTATCAGATTTTAGGGATGGCAGATAGATTCCAGCATCAATTAATTAGTAGTGGTGACTTGGAACTCCATTATGAGAAAGACTGTAAGACCACATTTGGGGCCAGCAGCAAAGAATGCTAAGGTAAATTAGTGAGGTTTAACTTCGATGAGGTAATGGAAGAATAGAAGCACACGGCTTTGTGTCTGCTACTCAGCCTTAGCCAGTCTGGGGCTGTATATATATATATTCGGTGATTTTTGCCAACATGAAATGCAAAGAAAAAAGTTTCTTGTTTTTATTATAATGCCTAGTTCCCCAATTAAAAATGTGGTTGGATGGTTTTTCATATGCTTGGCGTCCATCTGAATTTATTCTTTTGTGAATTTCTTTTCCATTGCCCTTTGTCCATATTTTCACTTGTCTTTGCTAACGTAGACTTACAAGGGTGCTCTATATGTAAGAATAACAAGATTTTTTTTCTGCCATTTGCTAATCTTTTTTTCTTCTAACTTGTTTAATGATATTTTATGATGAATAAAAGTGTTAATTGCTATGTGGTCAAATCAATTAATGTTTCTCTTCATGGCTTTGTCTTTTGTTTGCATGTTTAAAACATGCTTTCTTACCCTAAAATCTTATAAATGTTCATCTGTATATTCTTCTGTCTTATGATTTAATATATATTTATCTCTTAAATTCATCAGAAATCTAATACCCTCCTAAGGCATATCGAAGAGAGACAGACTTAAAGACGGAATAAAAGAGACTGAGGTAAGGGAATAGCAAGCAAATTGAAAATAGTGATATCGATAAAAACAATCATAGTAATAATTATAATAAAGCTGAAGTGCCATCCAGACATAGTAAAGTTCAAAATAAATATACTAGGGATGCCTGGGTGGCTCAGTGGTTGAGCATCTGCCTTTGGCTCAGGTTGTGATCCTAGGGTCCCGGGATTGAGCCCTGCTTCAGGCTCCCTGCAAGGAGCCTGCTTCTCCCTCTGCCTGTGTCTCTGCCTCTCTCTCTCTGTGTGTTTCTCATGAATAAATAAATAAAATCTTAAAAAAAGTAAATATGATAAATGAACAAAGACTAATTTTATGTTGCTAAAGTTTGAAATCACCTTGTTAATGAGTGTATTTTTATTCACAGAGAATATATAACCATTCAGACCATTTATGCATAAAACTTAATATATCACAAAAATATAAAGCAAAGCTAAACATACAAGGTTAAATTGTCAAAAAATGACTGTACCAGAGTTTAACATACTTTCAGTCTTGAACAGATGGGACAGATTAAAGTGAATGGGGATATAGAACATTTAGATAATATGTACAATAAAATTTATAAGAGAAGAATCTATATCTTACAAATAAAAATGCTTATTTTTCTCAAGACCTAATGTTATGTTTTACTCCTAGGACATATATGAGGCCATAGAAGATTTCAGTAAGAACAGACCTGTTCTCTGGCCTCAATGAAATAAACTTGGGGATTAATTTTAAGATAGGTTAACAAAATATACAAACACTTGGAGTTAAAATGATAACATAAAAATAAAATAAATCACTCACTTCAATAATTTCTGGGCCAAAGAGGAGATAAACGTCCAATTATAGGGTGTTTGGAAAATAATCATGCACACACGTAAGATTTAGCTAAAGCTAGACTCAGTGGAAAGTAGTATCTCTAAGAGCTCTATTTAAAAAACAGAATAAGTCAAAATAAATGAACAGAAGACTCAAGGAACTACAAAAGAAACTGTTCAGGATAAAAGCAGAAGCTAATGTATCAGAAAACAAAAAGTCCAAGTGTTGGGTCTCTGAAAGGAACAATAGATAAAATGTTTGTGCAAATAATCAAGAGAAAATAAGTAAAATGAGCCATGTCTATTATTGTAAAGAAACTAAATGATGCCATATAAGTAGACCAGAATATAATAATTGGAAATGTATGCTACTTAAATCTGTTAATAAATTTTTAAATTTACATTTTAATTAAGGACAATTTCCTAAGAAAATGTTAATTACTAAACTTTCTTAAGAAAAGATATAAAACTTTAAATGAACAAATAATCCTGGAAGAGTAATGGAAGAAAATAATTATTCAAAATATAAAGTAATAATTCCAATTCTGCTCAAGATGGAATAAGTTTACTCCACCCTTTCTCTTCCACTGAATATGACTATAAAGTCTGTACAGGAGGCATGGGGCCACTATTTGAGGACTCAGAAAAGTTAATAGTAGCAGGGGACTTGGGGAAGAAGACTGGAATTCAAAAGGCTAGCAATGAGTTTACCATTTTCTTGCCTTCCAGGATTCTTCAGGGTTGAATGCAGCAGTATGAAACCCCGAAGTAGGCAGACATTGGTGCAGAGAGAGAGATAGATAGAGAGAGCATGCTTGTTTTTCCTCTCTCTGCTTTCATACTTCCCAAACCTCAGGCGATCTCTTGGCAGCTGCAGTGATTGCAGAGGTTGCAAACCAACCAGAATTTGCAGGAGCCAAATCTTGGAAGAAGAACAAGAACCTTTCTCTCTTATTAGCAGAGTTGTAAATCCAGGAGGATGTGCCAAAATCTGTGCTGCTGCCATTTGGTCCAAATGCAAACGTAGTCCCAGAAGCATGCAGGAGAGCAGAGTAACTAAATTTTCAGCTTTTGGAATAGAGGACTGAAAAGGGGAGCTCCAGAAAAATAGGAATATACTGGGGAGGTCATGGGAAACAAAGGGCTTGGGGTCCTACTGGCTGCTCATGCATGGATTTGATCTTGATTAGGAACTGAACACCACCCAGGTTCCAGATTGACCACTAGGGAGCTCACACATGGGAGAAGTCCAATAGCATTGCAAAAACTTTGAAATCTGAGCTAACATTGAAACTAACACCCACAAAAAGCTCATTGGATCTTGTGACCTGAAACTTCTCAGGTTAACTGCCAACAAAAACGAAAACATCTACACTTTCTTTGGGAATTAAACGAGACCCAGAATCTTATCACATATTTAAAAATATTCAGGATGCAATTAAAATTACTCACCATATAAAAAAAGAATTCACAACGTGCATGGGAAAAGATGGCAGATATTAGGATTATATAATTGAAATTATATCACAAGGACTTTGAAGAAGGTATCATACAAATGTCTCAACAATTATAAACACTCTTGAAACAAATGGAAAAAAAATAGATTACTCCAGCAAATAGAAGATATGAAGAAGAATCAAATGAAAATTTGAGAACTGAAATATGTAAGAACTGAAATTTAAAATGTACTAAATGAGCCCAATAGAAAGACTAGGAATAATAGAAAAAGGAGGGGGGACTATCAATTTACAATTATGCATAATTATATAATTGTATATATGAGGATATATCTATTGATCTGCCTATTATTTATATATTTATAGATCTTTATATGATTTGTATCTATAGATATACTATACATCTCCAGCAAAATAGCCTTCAGGAATTAGGGTGAAATAAACACATTTTCAGATGAAAGATAACTAAGGGATTTGTGCCAGCAGATCTGCTCTATGAAAGTTTATAAAAGAAGTTCTTCAGACAGATAGAAACTTGAAACTTCGGGAATGAAGAAAGAGTAAGATGTTCAATATGACTAAGCATTTGGAAATGTAAATTAAAGCCATGATGAGTAGGAAATATCAGAAAGGGAGACAGAACATGAAGACTCCTAACTCTGGGAAACGAACTAGGGGTGGTAGAAGAGGAGGTGGGCGGGGGGGGTGGGGGTGAATGGGTGACGGGCACTGAGGGGGGCACTTGACGGGATGAGCACTGGGTGTTATTCTGTATGTTGGCAAATTGAACACCAATAAAAAATAAATTTATTATTAAAAAATAATTATTATTTTAAATAATAAATTGATGAGATACCACTACATGATGAGATACCACTACATACCTATTTGAATGGTGATATATCTGCAATATAGACCTTTCCACCAACACACACAATACCAAATGTGGATGGGAGACATAGCCACTACTAGTCTCACACATTTCTTTCTATCATGAACAAGAAATGGCCCATGTACCACTCTGAAAACATTTTGGCAGTTTCTTATAACACTAAATATACTTTTATTGTATGACTTAGTAATTCCATCCTTGGATATTTAGCCTAAATAAATGAAATCTTAAGCTGACACAAAAACCTGTACATAAACTCAGAAAAACCTCAAAGTTATTACGCTATGTGAAAAAAAATCTCCAAAAAATATGTACTGTGTGATTCATTTATATGATCCTCAAAAAAGACAAAACCATAGTGATACAGAACAGATAAGTGGTTTGCCTGGGGGTTGGGGTCAAGAGAGGGTATAACTACAGAGGGAGTTTTCTGGAGCGAATGGATCTGTTCCATATACTGATTGTGATTGTAGTTATATGAATCCGTTAGAGGTGTCTGAATCCGTGACCTGTAACACACGTGAATTTTACTGTGTGATAATCTTAAAAGTAAAATTTATAATGTAACCATAGTTTGAGCTGCCTCCAGATGAGAGTGGTGGTGGTAAACTTTGTCAATAGGAAGTTAGTTACCTTTGCTGATCCTTTTGTATTTCCCACACTGGCGGGAGAAGGAAAAGAGATGCCCTTTTAAAACTTTTACCGTGATTGCTATTTGTTATTAGCAGAGCAACCTCTAGGATTATGTTGGAGATCACCGAGTTTGGTTCAAGCCTTGACCTCAGATGTAAGATCTAGAAACATAGATGAAACTATTTTATTTTTTATAGATTGAGGATGATGAAGGATGAGCACAGGAAGCTGCTACCTCTGAGTGCACACAAGGGCTGGTCCTGTCTCTGAATCTAAAGATAGTATCAAGGATACAGGCAATGTGTGGGGCCCTCTCCTTTGTGGATGATTACTCCTGAAGAAGTAAAGGAAATGGTCACTGTGAATGTAATGGCCAGCCTGAAGAAAGTCAGCCTAACAGAGCATTCTAGAAGCTTGGGGTGTCTGGCAGTACCACATGTAAGATTCTCAACACATGTGCCTTTCACCTGTTCAAGATGCAAATCCTGAAAAATTTAGCCAAGGATAAGCCCAACTGTTGTTTGGAAATGGGCTTCTGGCACATTTCCTGGTCCTGGTGCTCGGATCTCCTAGATAAGAACACCTGCTTTTCCCAAGACTGTTTTGAGACTAAGCTACTTTTCATTTGAATAGGGAGGCCAACAAATAGTAGATGCCATGTTGGGTGAGGAGACAATCAAGACAACTTCCACTGGACTTGGGCCACCCAAACACAAGGCAAAGGTGATGGTGTGATGTGACCTATGGAAAGGACATGTCTTGGGACCATTTTCTTTGAAGCCAGATGTCTGGAGAGATGAATTTCATCATGTAAAGTGACCAATTAGTGCCCGCATATGACAGACTTGGGGCGGGGTGCCAGGAGTGCTTCCAAGAGGCTGGCACATCACCCTGGTGAGCCAGAAAGAGAAGGGATTCATTGGATAATTTCCAGAACTGCATCGGCTGATGGAGTTGTGTGGAGTAGATCACCAGATCAGAACTCCTTTGATTCTTTCCTCTGGGGTTCGTAAAAGGCTCAGGTTTATCCTGTGGAAATCAGATACTAAATTATCTGAGGGCAGTACATCACAGATAGGAATGCAGAGATTGACACCAACAGTACATTAGTGCACCAACTCACTGCAAGATTGCATTGCTACCAAAGCACAACACGTTGAACACTCCACGCGTTGAAAGATAATGGCAATAAACCGTTTATATTTCCGGATTCTGAGCACTTTATAGATCTATTGCTTCACCTACAGAAATAGAGTGACCATGATAGCCCTCTCGGGTTCATGGCAGGATTAAGTGAGCTAAAACACATAAAATAAAGTGCACTGAAAAATGTTTTAAATCTGTATCTAGTGTTGTAACCAGATTTACAACGTTTATTTACCCGTATTGCTTTTTAATTGTTCGCAAAGTCTACTGCTAGAGCTTTTCTATCCTAAACTCCATCTTCAGGTAATTCCACTTAAACATACCGGGTGGTTTATTTTTCCAGCCTCTGGATGTAGGAGACTATCTCTGTTAAATTCACAACAAAAAGATACTCTTGTAGACAACAGTCACAAGGGGGCATCTTCCTCCTGTCATTAATGCCTGTCCTGTGATTAGCTAACACTGTAACAGATATTAAAACAAGACACCATTCCCAACACACATGGAATCTGAAAAATTTCCTGCCCCACTTCCATTTACCTGACTTAATGCTTGATGTCTCAGAAGGATCTTTGCCGGTATGCCTCTGCTCTCCTCCTTGGCCCCCTCTCCACGTTTCCCCAAACACACATGCGTCCTATCTTTTTATAGCTCCTGCTTTTACGTGGAAAGATGGCTAGACTGCAGGGTGGGTGTCTGCTAGCACAGGTCTCAATAGAAAGGGATGGAAATTCAGTCTCTGGCCAAACTCTGGTACTCTGAGTCAACATGCAGGTGGTGAGAAAAATACAATGCATCCCCCTCCCCCGAATGCATCCACCCAGGTTTTTTCACAGAAGGCTTTATTTCGTGGAATGAAGCCAGGATAGTTTGTTTGTTTCTTTCTTTCCCCTCAGCTTAACTCCAGTTATCATTTCAGTACCTGTTGGTTGCTTCTCAACCTTAGTTTTTGGGTCTAGTGAAAGTTTATCGTTTTCTGTGCCTGTTAACTCTTGTGGTGTAAGCCAGGGTTTCTGAACCTTGGTGCTATGGACATGTCGGTGTGAATGATTCTTTGTTGTGGGGGCTGTCTGGTACCTTCTAGGATGTTTAGTTGCATTTCTGGCCTGTACGCTAGATACTAGTAACGGTGCTCTCCCCCTAAATATTTCCAAATTTTGCCCAATGTTCCCTGCAAAGCCAACCCTCATTAAGAACCACTGCTTTAGACTAGAGAGTAAAATGCACTAGGGAGCTCGGAAGAGTAGTGCCAAAATTGGAGCTGCAGTCTTAACAAGGTTCTCTACGGCTCCTCGCTCTCTTACCGTGAGGACGATGAACGTAGTCCAGCTCGTTCAGTTCATTGCAACTACACGATGCCACATTGGCTTATGTGCTCACCCTGAGGGCTTTTGTCAGGATTATCCAGGGAGCTTTAAATGCGCCTAGACCCATGCCAAATACCTGAAAATCCCACCTTCTTCACTGCTTTGAAAATAAGGCATTTTCTGGGACAGTTGATAGGTGATGTCATTTAATGTGATCATGAAGAAGTATGCATATTCCTATATGACACATTTAGTTTTTGTTGTTTTTTGTTTTCTTTTTTTGAGAGTGAGTGTGAGCAGGGGTTGGGGAGGGGCAGAGGGAGAAGGGGAGAGAGAGAATCCTAAGCAGGTTCCACACCCAGTATGGAACCCCACACAGGGCTGAGCTCATGACCCAGAGATCACAACCTGAGCCACCCAGGCATCCCTATGACACATTTAGTTTTAAAAAAATATTTTAATAACTGTATTTTGATATAACCCAGTGATTTTTAATGCAAAGAGGCATAGATTCCGAGATGAGCTGGGATGAAAAAGGTGGAAAAGAAGACTATAACCTAATCTCCATGGCTGCTCAGTTAAATCCCCTGTTAGAATCAGGCACTGTTCCATAATGCACATAATGGTTATATGTAAATAAAGCAGCATCAGGTACACTCACTGTCCCAAACTAAAGATCAGAAAGCCCTTGCAGAAACTGATTTATAACTCTTTCCTGTAGGATCCTCCTAAATTTTAGAGTAGGCCAAGCTTTCCAGGCTTTTAGCATTCCTTTGCTTCCCCCACCCCGTTCCCGCCTCCTTTGTATTGTGAATTCAACTGTCTTCTCATTGTCATGCGACTCAATCTGGTAATTATTTGTTCTGTTCATCAAATCTTTCTAGCTTTTTGCTTACTGGGAATATGGTAGGATTGTATGTCCCCATTCTCTTTGGAATTAGAGATGGCCAATGAAATGGAGCAGAAGCGAGGGGTGTCACCTTCGGGGACAACTGTAGGAGCCCATGAGCAATTCATTATGTTCTGTTTTTCTGCCACAGCACTCTTCAAAGGCAAAGCGTGCATTGAAACATAGCCTCCGGCTACAGGTTTGGGGTTATTAGTCAGGATCAAGTTCAGCTGAATGTGACAGAGAGTCAATGTCAAAGTGGGTAGACTGGAAATATAAGATGAAAATGGTGGTTCTGCTCCACAAAGTCTGCAGGAAGTTAGGCCCCTTCCAGCTTGTTACTTACCCATTGCTAGAATGCAACTATTTTTTTTTTAAGATTTTATTTATTTATTCATGAGAGACCCAGAGAGAGAGAGAGAGAGAGAGAGAGAGGCAGAGGGAGAAGCAGGCTCCCCGCAAGGAGCCCAACATGGGACTCAATCCCGGGACTCCAGGACCACGCCCTGGGCTGAAGGCAGGAGCTAAACCACTGAGCCACCCAGGGATCTCAGAATACAACTATTATTCTCACGGTCCAAGATGGTCCAAGATGGCTACCAGAGTTCTGCAACCATAGTCATGTTCTAGGTAGAAAGATGGGGTGAAAGGAAGAGACAACAGATAAAAGATAGCAGTTATCTCTTAAAGAGATTTTCTGGAAACTGCCATAAAAAACCACTATATAGATGTATATCATTGCCTAGAACCTAATCATATGGCCACATTCAGCTGCCTGGGTGGCTGGGATATGTAGGCCATATACATTTATATATATATATATATATATATATATATATATATATATATATATATATATATTTATATATCAACACTGTAGGCCCAGCTAAAACTCAGGAGCTCTATTACTTGAAGAATATGAGACCGATATAGTGGGTAGGTAGGTGACTAGGAGTCTCTGTCACAGTGGGCATATGAGCCCAGCTAGGACAATTATGATGGTCCATCCCTTCAATCACAGAGTGGGCTAAGGGACGGGCATATAACTCATGGCTGCTCTAGTGGAGTCCTTCTTTAAGGCCATGGTGGTTGTTATTTTAATAACTTTTCAAACTTAAGGAGAAGAGTCTTTCCTTCTCAGATCCTAAGTGTGAAGACAGAGACCAAGTGTAGCATGCAAAGAGAAGCATAAGAGAGAAGAGAGAAAAAATGGAAGACCTAGGTAGTTCTTGGTTTCCTTTCCAAGCCTTTTTGAGACCAGCTCCACCCCTAGCCTTTCCCCAGTTTAGCTCTATGAGCCAAAAAATCCCCTTTTGTTTAAACGAGGAGAAGCTGGGTGCCTATTGCTTGCAACCAAACAGTCCTAGAGCAATTGTCTACCTCCCTGGAGTTTTGTGGAGAGCACATGAGCTAGCTCACATAGTAGTTGCCATGGTGCCTGGCACATCCAAGTCCTGAAATGTTAGCTCTTAATGATGTGTTTGAAATAACACAGAGTAGATACAATTTGGAAAAACTTTTTTTTTTTTAAAGTCTCCGCTCAGATGAGGTCTTGCTCATTCATTCCCCAGGAGGATTTTGACCTTTCTCCTTCCTGTTCCCCATTCTCCATTCCTGCAGTCGTCTTACTGCTTTGTCAGTGTTTGCCAATTATATTGTCTTCTGATATCCTTTGAACTTCTGGAGGACTGGACCTGAGTCTTATTCAACTTTAAAACCTAGTATCGAACATTCTGGCGTATGATCGATGGCCAATAAATACGGTTAGGAAAATAAGAATTTGAAGAACATTCATGATTAAAGGTGGTGATAATAGAATCAGCATTTATAGAGGACTCACCATATTCTAAGCACTGTCCTAAGAACTTTAGGTTTTTATGATTAAGTCCTCACAATCACCCTACCAGACTGTTATTATTATTATTACTCCATTTTCCAGATATGCTAACTGATGTCAAGGTCATACAACTAGTGAATGAGATTTCATCCCAAACTGACTCCAGAACCCTCACATTTCAACCAATACACGGTGATATCTCTCAGTGAAGGAATTCCATTAAATTTAGATGGCATTAGATCTTCTGATACTAGAGATAGAGGAGATTTTAAGATCATTGAATTCCATCATGAAACAGATGCAGAAACTGATGCCAAGGATGGGAGGTAACTTGGTTTAGGTGGTTTATGTAACTGCGGGGGCCTTTCTACACAAGACCCCTGACTCCTAGCTGGAGTGTTTTAATGGTTAATGTTTTAACCAAGGGCCCGGCCTCTAAAGCAAAGTGTGCCCTTACTTTTGGGGTCGTGCTTTGGAAAAACCACACCCAGGTGGCCACTTGTGTTTCACAGCAGCTGTGTGCCAGGTACCACTCAAAGTCAAGGAAGTAGACCTCTATGGGTCTTGCCTGTGGAAACAGACATGAGAGGGGACTGGGGAAAGAGGACCTCTATTCATTCTTCAGGTTCCAGCACAGATGTTCTTAGAGGTTTCCCTGACCTCCTCAAGGTCAAGTCTGGCTATCTAAGATCCCCTATGCAGGGCTTGGTATGGAGGGCTGTAATTCTACATACCCTTGGTGGAGTATCTGGCTAATAGACCATCTCACTTGTTACCCTGTAAGTTCCCTGGGGACAAGATCCATGCGGATTTCTGTTCCTCATTACATTCCTGGGGTCCTGGCACATAATAGGTGCTCAAAGCTATTTGTTGAATGAATGAAGGAGCAAACGAACAAAAGAATTGAACGCAGGGGTGAAGCAGCAGGACAAATCCCAGTGCGCTCTGGAGGGGTAGCTGCAATCCCCGCATGGTGTGGCCTGAGGGGGCCCTCCAGAGTCTACACACTCACCACACAGCTCGCATCAGAAATCCCCACCTGGAAAGGCAAGTAAACATGCATGTGGTGAGGGTTGTGGGGTCCAAGGAGAAAAGGAGACCCAAAAAGGTGAGCAAGCAGTTTTCAAAGGATGCTTTCCACTGGCTGGCCAGCCTGTGTGTGTTTTCCTCTACAAAGTGTTTCCAATTACTGTGGCACTCTCGGTATCTGGATCCATCTCCGGCGAATTCCTCTGCAGCTCCTGCCAGACATATGGGATCAATCAGGGCTTCGGCGCTGGTGCGCTTGCTGCGGGAATGTTGACAGGCTGACAGACGCGGGGTTCTGGTGTCATGGAATCTCCGAGGCTTTGGCTTGATCCCGGGCGGAGAGGGAGAGGAGGGAGAGGGAGAGGGAGAGGGAGAGGGAGAGGGAGAGGGGGAGGAGAGAGATAGAGGCAGAGATAGAGGAAGGCGAGAGCAGAGGGGAGCGGGAGAGACGGACGGAGAGGAGGAAGAGGGCGAGGGAGGGATCTCCACGCGGGAGATCTTTGCTGACTGCCCCCTTTCCTTCTAACATTTTATAGGCTTCGGGGAGAGAGGGCGGAGGAGAGCCCCGCCGGGGGAGCCCCGCGAGCCCCCGAGCCGCCGCCCGTGTCCCCGCGGCCGGGACCCCAGGCGCCCAGGCTCCGGCCGCCCCGCGCGCCCCGCGCGCCCCCCGCGCGCCCCCCGCGCCCCGCGGGCTCCCGGGCCCGCCGCTCCGGCCCCAGCGCGATGTGGCCGCGCCTGGCCTTTTGTTGCTGGGGTCTGGCGCTCGTTTCGGGCTGGGCCACCTTTCAGCAGCTGTCCCCGTCGCGCAACTTCAGCTTCCGCCTGTTCCCCGAGGCCGCGCCCGGGGCGCCGGGGCGCCTGTCGGTGCAGCCCGCGCCGGCCGAGGACGCGGCGGGCCGCCGAGTGGAGCGGCTGGGCCAGGCGTTCCGGCGGCGCGTGCGGCGGCTGCGGGAGCTCAGCGGGCGCCTGGAGCTCGTCTTCCTGGTGGACGAGTCGTCCAGCGTGGGCCCGGCCAACTTCCTCAGCGAGCTCCGCTTCGTCCGCAAGCTGCTGTCCGACTTCCCCGTGGTGCCCACGGCCACGCGCGTGGCCATCGTGACCTTCTCGTCCAAGAACAACGTGGTGCCGCGCGTCGACTACATCTCCCACCGCCGCGCGCACCAGCACAAGTGCGCGCTGCTCCGCCGCGAGATCCCGGCCATCGCCTACCGCGGCGGCGGCACCTACACCAAGGGCGCCTTCCAGCAAGCGGCGGTAAGGGGACCCCCCACCCCCCTCCCGCCCCCCGCCCGGGCGCCCCCGGCCAGTCCCGGGGCGCGCGGACGCAGAGCCGCCCCCTCCTTCCCATGGTTGGGGGGCCGGGGAGGGGGGCCCAGCGGGGAGTGGGGGGCTCCCCGCCCAGCGGAGGGCAGGCCCCTTCCCCTCTTCCGAAGGGGTCCGGGGGGGGGGGTGCGGCTCGCGCCCCCGCTGCTGGAGGCACACGGCGCCCGGGGCTGGGACAGGTGAGTGCGCTTTACGCAGCGACTCGGAAGGTCACGGCGCGGGGCAGCCGCACGGCCAGCTCCTCGCGTCCTTCCTCCTGGCTTTGCGCCTCCGGTGCGCACCTCCCTGCACGCCGTTCCTCTTCTGAGTCTGGGACCTCCACAGGATTTTGGTTTAGCATCTGGAAGAGGAGGTCGGTTTTTAGAGGATGGACTTTTGCACAATTTCACTTTTTTTTTTTTTCTGATTACCAAGTCATGCATACTCCAATGTCGAAGAACATTTGGAACACGCAGAGCTGTCTGACACGCACCGCACCGGCAAGCCGGTGTTGGTAGAATGAATGAAAGAGAAAGGAAGAAAGGAAGGGAAAACCCTGTAACCCCAGCCCTACCCCTAAAAGAACCACCGTGGCACGTTTGGGCATAGGTTTCACAAAGCGGTAGCCCGCTGGTTTGTGGCCTGCGGTTTTCATTTGTTGTATCAAAGATGATCTACGTAAGTATATTATTATATCTAATATAGGTGTTCGAGATCTACATCAGCTGCATACTATTCCACTGAATCCGTGCACTGCAATTTATTTCACCTGTCATCTATTATTGGACATTTAGGGTCTTTATTAACTAAGTTGTGGCAAGCCACGCATACTTGTGCGCCCTTTTGACGACTTCCTTAGGAAGAAATTCTATAGAGGTTCCTGAATTAGAGACTATGAACATTTGTAAACTTCTTGAAACGTATTGTCCAAGTCTCCCTTGGAGGGTTATTAAATTTACATTCCCACCAATAGAGTAAGGCTCTCCTCACATCAGTAAGGCTGCCTTACTCTTACTGAACTGTTATTCTAAATATCTGCCAATGTCATAGTTATCTAGAGGTATCATTTCAGCAAATTCACATTTTTAGTTTTATTGAGGATGAACATTTTCCAGTACATTTATTGGGCGTTTGTATTTTCCCCTTAATAACTACCTGGTCATCATTTTTGCCCATTTTGCACTGCTAGTACGTGTTAGTTTTTTTTTTTTTCTTTTCTTTTCTTAATGATTTGTGAAAGCTCTTTATATAGTAAGACCGGTAACTCCTTTTTGTATGTGTTGCAAATGTTTTTCCAGGTCACTGCCTTTTACTTTTGTTTATTGCAGTGTCGTTAGATGGATGATGTAAACTTTTTTCAAATCTTCTAAACATTGTCCTTAAGGTCCTAAATTTGCTTATCTTCTTAGAATGGCCTTTTCATTTCCCAAATTGGAGAAATGGCTTCCCATTTAACAGTTTAATCCATCTGGAACTTATTTTAGCATGTGGTGTGGCAATATCTAATTTTATTTTTTAGTAAATAGTTGACAAGTTGTCCTAGTATCATTCGCTTGAAAGCTATCCATCCTTTCCAATTTAGTTGAATGCCACTTTTATCACACACTAAATGCTTATGGGTATTTGATCTTCTGGCTGCCTATTAATTTGTCTTATCTATTATTTTTAAGCTTTGCAAAAGTGATTTAATGATTATGACTTTACAATATATGTAAATATCTGGCAATGCAAACTCTCCCTTTTTCTTATCCCTTTGAAATCAATTCTTATGTATTTATTACCTACTATTAATTTTTAATTCATTTTCACCTATTTCAAGTGAAAGCAACCAGGATTTTGATTTCAATACAGAAAATACTGGAATACATTTTATTTTTACCGATAATAAGTGGTTGTTTTAGAAAATAAAATAATCAGACAAAATTCCCATAAGTACACTGTAGTATTGTGATACACACCTTTCTTGACTTTTTGCAGTTGTTTAGGGGAAAGGTATGTTTTGTGCATGCAGAAAGTGTTTGCCCAAAAAAGTGTTATATTGTACATTCTCTTTTGTCACTTGACTTTCTATTCCACCGTATTTTCAGTTTTCTTTCCATAATAAGAAATACACTCTTGCTTTATACATTTTCAAAGTCACATGGTATTCCACTATATAATGTAACTTTATTTTTATCATGTAAATATCTATTGTATATTTAGGCTGTTTTAAACAGCACTGTGTGACTAAATTTTTGCTCATATCTTTAATAATTTTCTCAATGCAAATATCTAAAGTGGCAGCTATTATTGAATTCAAAGAGCATGCCCATTTCTTATGACCTTTGGTACATGTGCCAGGTTGCCCTGCAGAAGATTGGTACCAAATTGCACTTCTGTGTGTAGGGCCTGGATTAGTACCTAGGATGCAGCCAACATAGGCTAGTATCATTTAAACATTCTTCCCCCCACCACCACCCCACTTTATATGTGAAAAATAGAATCCTATTTTGAATTGCATTTCCTTATTAGTGAGGCCGAACGTTTTTTTTTTTCGTAATTATTGGCCATATATAACTCTTCTTTTTTGAATATTCATTAAAATGTTTGGGATTATCCATTTTTTTGTTCGAGGGTGATTCTTTTTCTTATTGATTTGCAAATGCTCTTTGCATCTTAGTGGTATTAACCCTCCCACTTTTAAGGGTGAGGCAAGTAGGTTTTTTTTGGTTTTTCACTCACTTTCTAAATTTGTTCATGGTGATAATATCTCTCATTTTATCAGTTGATTTTTCATTTCCTTTGTGCTTTTTTCATTCCCTATGAAGTTTGCAAAACCTTTGCATTTAGGAGATGAAGTAACTCCCTAAAGATGTTCCCCTTTAACTGAAGTAGTTTCACCAGGCAGGGTTCAGTTCTGCAGATCCAGTTTCTCTGTTGGTCCCACACCAAGGACTCAGGAGATCTTAGGGCTGGCCTCATTCCCGATGTCACCACCCACTCCATCTGAGAAGAGCCCTGCTGCATCAGGGAAAAACTTGTCATATACCAGCTCCTCTGTTTGGATTGGCCAGGTTTGCGTGGGGCCTCTGAGTACGTTGATCCAAAACAGTTAAATGGGTAATGAATCGAGTACACATGGCTCGCCTCAAGACCTGCTCTGTCTTCAGCTTTTTCCTTCCAAGTACTACATCCTGTCTTGGAAAGTGAAATTGCCAACAAGGTTTCCCAGTGCTGTTCTTCGGTCTGGATCCATTTGTAATCTAGCAGGCCGAGACTTCTCAAAAGTTGGTGTTTGCTGAACTTCCGCTTGATTTTATTTTTCTTTTCTCGTTTGGATCGGGGTATGTGAAGGTGCAGCTGGACTCAGTCCCTGGCTAACCTGGAAACTTAGCATATCTTTACTGTACCTTTTCCAGACCTCTGATGAGCATTCTTAGGTATAATTAAAATATGGTATTGGGAGAAAATGGATAGAAGAGGAGTGATGTTTAAAAATGACATGAGTGGAGGTTTGAATATGGATGTCTGCATGGGGATCAGGCAAGCCTATTTCAATGCGGAATTAGTTTGAAAATGGTAAGCTGTGTCGTTTGGGTTTGGATATGAAACTTGATACGTTTCATCGTGGAAATGAGACAGTTTGTCAGATTCCCACGTGTGTGCAGAACGGTATTATTAGAACAGACTGTGAGCTGGGAAACTGAACATCACGGGAACGTTTTTGAGGTTAATTACTTTCCCCATAAAAATTAGTTTCTCAAGCCTTTTCCGCTTGAAGCTGAATGTCCACACAACTATACATGGACACAAACACAGGCAGACAAATACATAGACACATTAATGTAGACCTACATGCGTGCTTGCAAGTTCATAGCTACCCCTCACATCCAGACCCCTTATTCTTCTTACGTAGAAATCTCAAGATGTAGAATTTTCTTTACCAAGCGTGCAATTTGCTGTTAGCTTTCAGCATATGTGATTGACTAAACAAAGAGGATAGCAGTGGGCTTCATTTTTTTTTAATTTGGCATCAGAACTGTACAGCTTGATGGGAGGTATATATGTGTGCACACTTACCACATTTTATTTCAATGGTCAACTGCATCGTAGATCTTTTCCTTTTAGACATCATCCCCGAGCACTTATCACAGCATGCAAGGGACTAAAGCAGTGAATCTGTGGTTAGCACAGATCCTTCCAGAAACACAGTCAGTAGAATGGAAGGAAGATTTAGCGCCTTGAACTTAGTTACAGGAAAACCTTTTACAAAATAAACAGAGAGCTCTTCAGATTATCCTTTCCAAGGAATGACTCTTCCCTTACCTTTCTTCTTAGTTTTTCTCCCCACTGGGTGTTTATAAATTGCCTTTCCTAAACTATGTATTTGGATTGGCCCCAGTGTGAACTCAAGACTCCCCACCTCTTCAGCATTTCAAGGTGTAAGAAAATCAGAGCCCCTTGTTCCTACTTAACTTTTGTTAAATATCTATTAAACAAACAGCACGAAACTTCCTTTGAAAAAAATTTCTGCTTCCTCCATTGTTCCAGAGTTCCAGAAATATGATCCTCTCGCGGGGAATGTGCTGTCTCACCAAAAAATTAGAGCTCTAGATGGCCAGAAGACTGGGAATAGATGGGCAGCAGCTTTAGGGAAAGAGCATCATTGCTATATGTCTGCATTGGTATACGTTCACACTTTTACCAGGAGACAGATCTACTCCCTCAGCCTTTTGGGAAGAAAGGATCTGCTTGTAAGTTTTCTAATAAAATCTGGAGATGTGTGAGATGACACTAGACTAAAAAGCCTGATAAAGGAAATTAGGGCCATTTTGTTTCCAAACAATAGACCAATAATAGCCTTTGTGCATTTTGCAGCAGTCTTCCTGGTGGCCCAAATGCTGAAGGAATAGGGAAGGTTTGAGTTTTCCTTTCCTAGAGGGAAAGGTTGAGGGGAGTCATACAGTTTGCAG